TTTTTTTCTCACAATTCTGACTGTTTTCTGACAGCTAACAAGCATTTTAGCCTCAAGCCGTTGCCATGTCTAGAGACTGGCTCTCTTGTTTTCACCTTCTGCTCTTTCATTATTGAACTAGCATCACCAGAGACCCCTCTGACATGTAAATGTTGCCTAATTTTCCACCAATGTGTTACTGGCCCTCACAAACAACTCACATCTTTGTCAGAGAAGCTAAATGCTCCCACATCTCTTCCTTCATGCTGCCCATCTACATCAAGAGCCAAAATTCTGAGATTAAAGTCAGAATTCTGAGATTAAAGTCAGTGTATAAAATGAGAAAAAAATCAGAATTCTGACTTTTTTCTCATATTATAGGCTACTGAAATAAAAATTTTTAATCAGTTTTTTTTTTTCCAGTGGGCCTAATCCTCTTCTGTATTTTACCGTTTAAACAGCAAAGTTAAATCCGTATCTATATTAGACAACAATGATGGGTGAATTAATGGCCTAATCATTGTTTTACAGACGTTTGAGATAATTCTAGAGCTTTTATAATATTATCTGATGATCATCCAAAGGAATTTAATTTCTCCTTTCCTTTTTCCCAACACGGTTTTAAAATTTCTTGACATAGATTAGTTTCACAATGATTCTTTAACTGAAACCAGTAAGTAGAAAGTAATTGTAATCTCAACTGCAGCGGCATTTAACGCTGAAGCAAGCATGGACTTTTATTCTGGAAAATGCTAAATCGGAAGTCATCACATAGACTTCCACTCTTTTTAGCATTATTTATTTTTATTTCTAATTTAGAAACAAACAGTTGCACGTTCAATCTTTGCACAATTGAAGTGAATTTGTTGACCTGTTTACCGTATTTTAAAAACTGTTGAAGACAAGTGTGAGGCTAAGCTCCGCCCATCTGTTCCAGGAAAGATGGCGGAGCAAACACACCGCGGTGTTCCTCTCAGCACGGTAAGCAGCCTGTATCACCTTCTCTACATCATGTTTTTCACGCTGACTATTAGAAAATTCAACATTTAGTAACTTCAGTGTGTGTCCATGTGAGCAGGACCATAATTTATGCAGGTATCTCAGCAGTTCAGCTTGCTGTGTCCACTGTGATGTCCATGGCGGGCGGCGTTTGTGGATTGTTCGACACAATGTTTAATTTAAAACAAACAAATAAGTTACCTTAATTGAAACGTTCAAGTAAATCGGAGCAATTTAAGGCCAATTAGATTATCTTGCCTGTCCCTGTTTTTAATGGAAGGCTGCTCAGTTTCGGTTTCCAGTTGTTTCTCCTGTTATTGCTTTACTGTTCAGTGATAAGATCATCTGGGGGCCCAGAGATCACCAGCTCTTTACCACACTAGTGCATCCAAATGATTCATAAACTAATGCATTTACCATAATACTATTATAATTATAGATTATAGATAGTTTTTAATTTAAAGGTAAAGTTTTAACTTTCATTTTAAAGTATGTTGTAGTCTGTTTTGCTCATCTCTCTGTTTTTCAGCCATTTATGTCTGCATCCAACTGCAGAGGCGTAGCCAGACATTTTTTACAAGGGTTGCCAGGCAATAACCAATGTAGACTGAGGGGGGCTGAAAGCGGATAGGCACCAGAAACTCGCGGTCAATCTAAACTGTTCCAACAGGAAAAAATAACCAGCAAAACATCCATATTTTCTAAATAAATACTAACTATACTT